GTGCGGTGTGCGTGCCGCGAGCGAGCCGAGCCAAGCGAGAGAGCGATTCCTCAACGCTAGTCGATGTCCGCCTGCGATTGCAGGCATTCCGATTGTGTCTCCTGGTCAGCAGCATTCCGCAGTGCGCCCCGTGCGGGGTCCCCGAGTCCCTGCGGCCCAAGGACTGCGGCGGCAGGGCGGCGCGCTAGCGGCAGCGGTGCCACGAAGCAGTGCCTGAACCTGAAGATGATGTCGGGCCTGGACCCTTTGCAGGCGCAGGCGGCTCCGGCCCCAGCCGCGGCCCTACCTGCGCGAGCGGAGCTGGCGCAGAGGTGGCTGCCAGCGCGCTAAATCGGAACGAGCGGACATGTGTGTTGTGTGTTGTGGTGCAGTTATGTGCAGCAGTGTTGTTTGTGTGTGCGTGTGCCAGTGAGTGGGTGTGTGTGTGCCGCTGGCGGGCCGAGCCGGGCCAACCCTGGCAAAACCATGTCCATGGCACTCATGCGATCAGAGTGCAGAAAGTTTGCGCCAAACATCTTCAACAAGAGCAAGTGCACCAACTGCTTCAGGCAGAAAGAGGAGCACAGTGCCGAGGCGTTGGAGAGCAATAGGGTGAGTTCTTCAGGAATGTGTGGTGGTGGTTTGTGTGGGGGGACGTCTTTGTCACCTGCCAAATAATATGCACGATGCATATTTATTTTGGGGCGCATGCGATTCCAATGGTTTTATTTTGTAGTTGTGTGTCAAATTACGCATGTTTGTTTTGATTTGAAATTTAAAAATGTACTTGAGTGGTCTCTGGTGCGCCTCGTCAGGTGCTTCCCCCTTCGATGTCATGTCGTGTCATCATGTCCACAGCTGAGATGACGCGCCGCACTACGCTATGCCACGCTTCTCAGTGATATAAACGCGCGGAGGCCGTGAATGAGATCGCCAGGCGCAGGCGGACATTACAAGTGTTGGAGCTAATGTGTCCGAGACACGCGCTCTCAAAGCCCAGGTTGGCGAAATGACGCGGCCAAAGGGAAGAGGACGCCCTGTTCCATGGCGCCGGCGGCGGCCCCCAGCACATATCAGCTGCGGCTGCACCCCCCCCCCCTTCGCCCGAGGCGAGGGGACGCCGAGAGGCTACCTGCTGCAGGTGCAATGGATGATGCTGCATCGAGCCACAGATTAGTTCCCTCCACGCCGTGGGCGTGGGGTGGGGTGGGGTGATGGGCGGAGCCCAGGTCCAACCATGACGACGGCATCAGGCATCAGGGTCTACTTTGTAGGAAATAAGAAGACGCCTTTAATGAAATCGCAGAATACTTTTTTGACATTTGGAGGGGAGTCTTCAGCTTTTTATTTCTCTTCCCTTCCTGTCACATTTCCGTCTGAGTGGGGAAAGTGTGGAAAAGTGCATCTGTACTTCTCAAACTTGTCTGCAACGTGCTGGTCTACGAAGCAAAGCACCCCTACGCGGTAGTGCAGGCACCGGGCGCACACCGGCAGCGGGTTATCGACCTGGCGAGGCTCGGCAACGGCGGGGCGGTCACCCCCCAGCAGGGCCTCGACGGTACACTCACTCTCAGCGTGAACCGCGGCCCGGGGCCTACCTAAGGACAACCTTTAAC